TGCTTTTTAGATCAGGTACGGGCTGTACGAGTTTGTGGTGATGCCTTTTGGCCTTTGCAATGCGCCAGGTACATTCCATCACGCCATGAACAGGGTATTCAATGATTACTTAGATAAGTTTATCGTCGTGTACCTCAACTGCATTACCTCGACTGAATTCTTAACTTTAGTAAGTCTGTCGAAGAGCACACACAACACATTGACCTTGAAATTGGACTCCTGCCACAACACAAGTATAAGATCAACTTGGAAAAATGTGAGATCGGTCGCACCAAGATCTTACACTTGGGTCATGAGATATCCGTGGATGGTCTTAGGCTGGAAGATGCAAAGGTAGCTAGTATTCGGGATTGACCACGGTGTTAGTCTGTGAGAGAGGTCATGTCCCTTGGGGATGACATGCTACTACTTGAACTTTGTAAAGAATTATAGTACTTTGTCCGCCCCCTTGACAAACCTAACATGCCTTGACACCCCATGGGAATGGAGTAGTGATTGCGAGAGATCCTTTTAGAGATTGAAGTATGCTCTTATGCATCATGAGATCCTTGTGTTCCTTGATCCCTAGAAGCCATTTATTGTTACCACTAACGCAAGCTAATATGGCATTGGTGCAATGCTCGCTTAGCAGGAGGGGAAGAAGATGAGGTCGATCGAGTACATGAGCAAGAAGATTCCATCAAGAAATTGGTGAAATCCACCTACGAGAGGGAACTGTATGCCCTATACAAAGCTCTAATCGACTGGAGACATTATCTTTTATGCAGATGATTCTATTTGGGAACTCACCATCAGACACTCAAGTGGATGAAGATGCACCCTATTCTCTCCGATGCACTCAAGCGCTGGATTGAAGTCATAGATCAATATAGAGTGCTATAAGGTTGTCGATGGAGTCTGGACTACCGAGGAGCACTAATTATTGAGTTTGGCCTATCTGACGAGCTGACTCGATCCATGGTGGATGCCTACAAGGAAGATGGACGTCATCCGCAAGCTTGGGGCCAAAGACAAGGCCACATCGATGAGTTTGTGATGGTGGATGAGTTACATTTCCTTGAGAAGGCAGGGTTCAAGAGATTGTGTGTGCTGTCTAGCGAGTCTTTGCGTAGTTTGTTTCTACGAGAGTGTAATGACGCAACCAGACACTTTGGTTATAAGAAGACTAGTGCTAATCTGGTATAATGTTTTTGGTGGCCTTCTATGCTTGATGATGCAAAGAATTACATATAGACTTGTCAAGTCTGTCAACGTGACAAGTCGAGAACTCAAGCACCGCTTGGGTTAATCAAGCCCTTGCCTATTCTCGCTGGCCCAGGACATGACGTGTCCATGGACTTCATGGATAACCTCATGACCAACAAGAGTGGCGGGAGATATATATTTGTTATAGTAGATCGTTTCGCCAAGTACGGTACACTAGGCTAGTTGCATGCCAGTGCCTAAACCTCCCGGCAGAGGCCATCCTTCAAAGTCGAGGATGCAATATCATGTCAGATTCAGACACCATATTGATCCCAGTGAAGATCGGTGGTTCAGTTTAGAAGAACTCAAGCGAACAGCACCCCATTGGCAAGTGATCGCTGTGGGTAATGATCCAGATGGTCCGTCCTCTGTGATTAGAATCTCTGGTCACCTGCACACTTACCCTGTCTTTCATGCTTCCAAGCTTGCACCTTTCGCTGAGGCGGACAGATCCCCATCAAGGAGATCAATGCTTCCCCAACCTTGGATGACCACATGGACGTTGACAATATTTTGGATCATTGAGATCTGCCTGTTTTCTAAGCCAGTTGGCAGAGGAAAACCGCTGAAACCTACACGAGAGTACCGGGTCAGATTCAGGCATCACACGGATCCAAAGGACCATTGGTTCACGAAGGAGGGAGCTGATCAAGACAACGCCTCAGGTCGTTGCAGAATATGAATATAAGTTGAAGGGGAAAGCACCTGCGTAGAAACATCTGAGCGGATGTTCGAAGCTAAGGAGGAGGGAGTGCGAGGATTGAGCCCTCGCATGGCCTCTTTGGCCTGGGCGCCTGGCGGGCTAAGGGGACCCAACGAGCAACGTGCCCGCCCTAAGTGAGGGCGGGACTGCTTCTGAACACGAGGCCTTATTCTTGTCATTTCTGCATGTGGGGGGGGCAGACAGTTGTGCCGCGCCAGTTGGTTACAATGGCCTTGCCGGTGCGAGCAGGACATCGTGAGCCTCAGGGCTCTTCTCAGCAGCCACATGGCCAGAGGCTCTCGGCCAATGAAAATTGCGGGAGCGGTGTGGCATGTGGCCGTGAGCCAATGAGAATGCGGCGAGTGACATCAACCACGTCACACACTTGGGCAACCTAACTGCTGCGGACCCAGGCCACGGTCTGAATGGGCCTGGGCAGGGACACTTCGGCCCAGCATGAAGCTACTGGGCACACACCCACCAGGCCCAGGCCAGCCAGAGGCAGGGCTCACTTTCCATATAGGAAAGTGAGTGCCCAGCCAGAGGACATTCTGGCTCGACGCGGCAGTGCTGCTGGATCAGAGTGCTGAGAGGCCGCTAGGGAGTGAGGCTGGAGGGTGCATGCGGGCGCACAGTGGTGGTGGGGAGTGGGCGCACGGCGGCCATAGCCGGGCTGCGTGGGCGCATGCTGGCGTTTACGATGATGGTCGTCGGGAAGAGGGCGCACACTGTGGGGGAGACGAGGGTGAGGTCGGGAGGGAGAAGGGACACGTACCTGGTGTATGCTGGCAGTCTGCATTGGCGACGTCGTCATGTACACTGGTCTTTAAAGTGACTCCTGTTGCATGACGTAATGGTAGGCTAGATAGGTGCTGAGTAGGATAGGCTGGGCGCTGAGCGCCAATCAAGAAGGGAGGCATTCGATACTATGTTGGTGATGACGAGAGAGGGCCGACATTGACATTTGAGTTTATTGTATATCCCTTATTTGGCTTGAATCTCGGTGCGTTGTGCTTTCTGCTTGGTGCATGACTATCTTGTCTCCAGCGTGATATTGCAATTTGGTTTTCTGTCTATTGCTCTCGCTCATTTTCCTTGCAAATTAACTAATTAGTAATTATTAATTAATTAATTAATTAACTGTTCCTGTCGGGCCGGCCTTTTGTCCATGCACGCACAGTTCGGGGTGCGTGGACAAATGGCGGGGCTGACAGTAACATTTAATTAATTAATCAATGAATTTCCCCTCTTTTGCCCCCTCTTTAAACAATGTGGTATTTCGTCAAAATTTATCCAAATGCTGGGTTCCTGTAGCTGACGATGTCATAAAAAAAGTAAAAAAACCTGAGTGGGGATCCAGGCCGCCCGGGTGACCGGCAGGGGCCCGGGGGAGGTCCCGGGCGGCCTGGCAGGGCAGGGCACCCGGTTGGGGGCCGGGCCCCCCCAGTGCACTCAACTGTGGGGGGATTTCAGACCCCCTTTCGGACCCCCTTTGTGTGTGTGTGTGTGTGTGTGTGTGTGTGTGTGTGTGTGTGAGAGAGAGAGAGAGAGAGAGAGAGAGAGAGAGAGAGAGAGAGA